CCCGTGTCTGCTGCTCCGGCACTTTTCCCAGTTCACTGCTCCCCACCACAGCACAGGCCTGACCACCACAAGCTTTGTTTCTGCGTGTTTGCTTTGATTTTTTAAGATTGGTTTTATTTTATGTGGCTAAGGGTTTTGCCTACATGAATGGATATGTACCATGGTGCCCACCGAAGTCAGAAAAACACATCAGATACCCTAGAACCAGGGCTGTGGCCAGTCATGAACCACCATGTGGGCGCTGAGAACTGAACTCAGGTCCTCTGTAAGCGCCACAAGTCCTCTTAACTGTTGTGGAATATTATTTTAACTGGGCAAAGATGTGTTACATTTGTTTTTTGCTGTGAGATATTACTTTAACTGTGTAAAGGTGTGTTACATTTGTTTATGATGCCTTTGTTTAAAGATGTGCTGCATTGGTTTCACCTGCCTGCTTAAGGCACCTGATTGGTCTAATAAAGAGCTGAACAGCCAATAACTAGGCAGAGAAAGGCTAGGCAGGGACAGCAGGCAGAGAGAATAAATGGGAGGAGAAATCTAGGCTCAAAAATAAGAACGAGGAGAAAAAGGAGGAGGAGGAGGAGGAGGAGGAGGAGGAGAGTAAGGGAGAGTTCCTGGGGCCAGAAGCCAGGCAGACACCAGCCAGCCAGACATAAAGACAGCAGGAAATTAAGATATAAAGAAAGAAAAAAGGTAAAAAGCCCCGAGGCAAAATGCAGATGAAGAGAAACAGGTTAACTATAAGAGCTGGCAAGAAAAGAGCTGAGCTAAGGCCAAGCATTCAAAACTAATAAGTCTCTGTAACATGATTTGGGAGCTGGTTGATGGCCCAAAAGAAAAAGCCTGGTACACTTAACTGCTGAGCAATCTCTCCAATTCATGGCCTCCCCATCTGGATGGGCTCAAGACCTCACTGACACCCTCAAGTCCCACGGGCCCTGCAGCCAGCCCATTCTCAGCACACTGCTGTGAAATCCCAGTGAAGGATGGAAAGAGTGAGCAAAAATTCTGCACATTTCTCTGTTCTGCTTGAAGCAAGTTAGAGGCACATTTCCAGCCTGTGAAATGGGACCACTGTCATCCTTCCTTACAGATTTGAAAACTGAGGTATGGACACACCCATATCTGCCAATTACTTACAAAAGCCCTTTAGTGCTTGGGAGGCTAAGGCAGGAGGGTTGTGCATTTGTGGATTTGAGGCCAGTCTGGGTTACCAATGAGACCACACCTCAATAAATAAATAAATAGAACCCTGCCAAGGTTTCCATTGCCCTTGGGAATGGAAGGGAAGCAGGATCATACACCTACAAGACCCTACAAAGCTTTTAGGTAATATTGGTGTGCTTGTATATCATGGAAGGATACATGACAAGATTGTGGAGTTGATTCTCTTTCTACATTTACCTGGGTCCTGGGGCTGGAACTGAGGTCATCAGGCTTGCATGGCAAGAACGTTCACCTGCTGAATCATCTCACTACCTGCTATGGAGCTTTTGAGGAACAGGTTTCATTTTATTACCAAACTTTTTAAGATTTTTTATTTTTAATTATGCATGTGTATTTACTGTGAAGGCCAGAGGGAGGTATGGCTCCCAGGTGCTGTAGTTACAGGTGGTTATGAGTCACCTGATGCAGCGCTAGGAACCAAAAGGTCCTCTGGAAAAGCAGCAGGTGCTCTAGAGCACTGAGCCATCTCTCCAGCCCATATATATACATAATATAGTATGAGAGTATGAGTGTGTGTGTGTGTGTGTGTGTGTGTGTGTAGTTAAGTATGAGAGTATTATGAGTGAGTGTGTGTGTGTATAGTTAAGTATGAGTATTATGAGTGAGTGAGTGTGTGTGTGTGTGTGTGTAGTTAAGTATGAGAGTATTATAAGTGTGTGTGTATAGTTAAGTATGAGAGTATTATAAGTGAGTGAGTGTGTGTGTGTAGTTAAGTATGAGAGTATTATGAGTGTGTGTGTGTGTGTAGTTAAGTATGAGAGTATTATAAGTGTGTGTGTGTGTGTGTGTGTGTGTGTGTGTGTGTGTATAGTTAAGCATGAGAGTATAGTGAATGAGTGAGTGAGTGTGCACACCATGACATGTGGGAAAGTCAGAGGATAACTTGAAGGAGTTAGTTCACTTTTTCCACCATGTGGGTTCCAGGGATCAAATTCAGGTTACCAGGCTCGGTGGGAGCACCCTTATAAAATAGGCCATTGGTCCTGCTTGGTTTTTTGAAACAGGTTTATGTAGCCAAGCCTGACCTTGAACCCATGATCCTCCACCCCCCACCACTGGGGCTGTAGGAGTACACTACCAGACTTGGTCCCTGCAAGTTTAAACTTAAGAACCACATGAGGTCAGCTGCTGCAACAGTGGGGTCTCGCCAAGCTGCAGGAGGCACCATTTCAGAATCTGCATGCTCACCTCCCTGCCGTCACAGCCAGCTTCACAAGCTACAGACCACAGCCGCCTCCACCCACATGGGGCTCTACTTCTTGCCTGTCCCCACCATTCACACTCAGCCCCCTGAGGGCAGCCACAGGCCTGATGGGAAGGCTCAGTGAAGCCCCACATTGCTGGAGAATAAAGGGCCACGGCTGTCTGGTGGAACCACATCCTGGGGCCTCCTACCTGAGCCCTAGTATTTCGCAACCCGGAGCTGACCTCATGCAGTTTCAGGCTATCCCCAGCAGGGCCCAAACGCTACCCACTCGCCCCTTCCCTGCCACGGCCTGGGCTATCCTGGGCTGTTCTCGTTGGCTCATGTCCCAGC